CAGACAAACCCGTAACAATATGCGTTTTGTACTGCTGTTACACAGCACAAAACGCATAAAAAGGAGATGGCAAAGACTTGAGACATTGTAATTTTAATCTTAGACGACGTGTGTTTATGTAAAAAATAAGGGTTAAAAAGAAAGGAATAAAAGGAAGGTGAATAAGATAAATCGGATTAAAAAACCTGACTTTCGGATGACTTCCCCACTGAGTCAATGCGCATAATGGAAAGAGCACAGGTGCCTGGATTTATGACTGTTAAAATCCATTCCGGCAGAGGTCAGAAGTCTGGTTGTAGTGTTGCATTCAGTGTGACCAAAACAAATACATCTGCGCTTTTGTGGTTTGATAAAAGTGATAATTCAGCAGTTTATGCGATTTAGATCTGGCAACTGCAACTGTATTTTCTCGGAATTGCTGAAGCAAAGTGTCAAAGTAAGTGAACCGAGCAACGATGTCGTTGATGAGACCGAAAACACTGAGGACGGGCACCAATCAGGCGCTTCGAATCGCAAAAACTGGTAACAATTGCTTTTTTTTTTTGGGTCTCCTAGTGTATTTTTTATGCTGGCCTTGTAGAAAATGAGTATGGCTTACTTTAGAGATTTGAAGACAGGCAGTAACGCAGAAGTTATAACTTTCTGTGAACAGTCGTTTGGAATGGATTTTTAGTGATTGAATACATGAAACCCTCGTACTAAGTATAAATTTGTGGAAATTTCTGACCAAATTTTCTTTGATCTAAGTTTGTTTCGTGCTTAGGAGCGGCGGTGAAGATGATGGCATCGCGTATCAATTTGGCCACTAGGGGAATCAACTGTGAGACGGAGTACGGCAGACATATGGAAGATCTTTCGAGGCGTATATTTACTGAGCCACCTCGAACGACTCATTCGAAAAATCTGAAAGTTGTGCGAGTGATGTCGGAGGAGCCTTTGGAGCAGCAGCCATTTAAAGCGGTAAGTGTTATTTCATCTCATCAGCTCTGATGAACAGCGTGTGCTGAAATAACAGAAGTTCCCGAGGGGAACATGGGCGCATCGGACGCGAAAATTGGAAATCAAAAGGATTGTTTTTATGGGATGAGCTGAATATTCTGAGAAACATGTCGGCAACACTTATGCACACTGAAGATTATTACATTCGTGCTTGTGGAGGAAGTCAAAGTTTCATCCTCACATCATTTACTGTGAGGGACAGAGGCACTTGGGAATAACTTGAGTGGTAATAGTTGTTTACGTGGCTGCTCTTTCGCAGGTTGCTTAAAATCAAACTAGTTAGTGGTAGCTTTACTTCCTGGCATATCATTACCAATTTGCCCTTGAAAGGAATAACCAAATTCTGGAAGGAGGAACGGAACAGAACGCATATATATATATATATATATATATATATATTCGCGAGCAAAACTTACATATATTTTCAGCTTGATTATTATCCAAATCAGCCGATGTTTCACTATCTTACGAAGATGCTGCGATTTCATGGACTTTATTTCGATGAGCATGTTGTTTGGCGAGATATACAGGTATGCCATATTTACAGTGTAACGGCATATCTAGTTCATAATTTGCTGAGACAGATGTTCCTGTCTGAATAACTCCCCTCAGATTAGGCTTCGGAAAACGGAAATAAGCACATTGTTAACAGTGTCGTTAAAAAAATTTGTGATTATCTTAGTGGTGATCGCTTCCTTAACAATTCCCACATAGTTTCCATCAACAACTTCATTTTCAAAAGTTTTTGAGCAACATTCAGCTCTGTGCTACCGAACGTGCGATCGTATGCTTAGCATCCTGTAATTTATCCCTGCCGTATTGTGGGTACAGTTGTCGAATGTCCCGTAATTGAACTGTTGTAGACTTGGTAAATTCTGAACGGAATTTAAAAACTAGCGGGATTGTTGTTCCCGAATATTGTGCAGATTGGAGCCCCACTTTTCGTGAACAGAGTTTTATGGAATTTTTGGCGTGCTGGTGACTGTTTAAAGGGACGTCATAAGAATATAAACGCCGATTTGTTACAGTGATAACTTACCTGAAGAAGAGCTGTTCGGTAAAGGAACGTTCTCATTTTCAAATGCACGAAATTTCAGAATCGCCTCAAAATAGCTCGCGGGAAACTACTCTATCCGCCGATTGGACAAGGCAAAAGAGCTCAGTTACGAGGCGATGTGAAATGAAGAGATGTTACCCTTTCGCCATGTTCGAGCAGTGCATTTTTTGCGGCCTTCGAAAGTAGCAGTTAGTCAAGCAAGGAAACTGTTAAAATTTTAACTATGATGTTAACTATGCCGTAAAAAATATGGGCTGAAGTCTTGCTGGGCTGAAAGCCACTGAACGAAAAGTTTGTTCCTTCCGACTGTTTAGGGATGGCTAGATGCGCTGGAAATCAGCATGTGGTTTTCTTTGTATGCTCTTAAGTTTGCTATTTTTTTTTTTTGTGGAATCAGCCTTCTGACACATAATTATTTTGCTCGACTTTGAGTGCGTTTCATATGAACTTCCGTTTTCGACTCGCGCATGTTTTTTGGATGGATCCGTGTTTTTTCTCGAAGTAGGCATGACGAAGTTGGCTCTCAGCGTTCACTTCCATTTTAGTAAAAGCTGTGTTCAAGTGGATCACCAGTGTTGCGGCAAAGAAAAGTATAAAAAG